GACCCTCAACTCTATGGTCAACTAATCTTTGACAAAGCAGGAAAGAATGTCCAGTGGAAAAAAGACAGTCTCTTCAACAAATGGTGTTGGGAAAATTGGACAGCCACATGCAGAAGAATGAAACTGGACCATTTCCTTACACCACACACAACAATAGACTCAAAATGGATGAAAGACCTCAATGTGAGGCAGTAATCCATCAAAATCCTTGAGGAGAACAGAGGCAGCAACCTCTTCGACCTCAGCCGCAGCAACTTCTTCCTAGACACATCACCAAAGGCGAGGGAAGCAAGGGCGAAAAGGAACTACTGGGACTTCATCAAGATAAAAAACTTTTGCACAGCAAAGGAAACAGTCAACAAAACCAAAAGACAACCAACAGAATGGGAGAAGGTATTTGCAAATGACATATCAGATAAAGGGCTAGTATCCAAAATCTATAAAGAACTTATCAAACTCAACACCCGAAGAACAAATAATCCAATCAAGAAATGGGCAGAAGACAAGAACAGACATTTCTGCAAAGAAGACATCCAAATGGCCAAAGACACATGAAAAAGTGTTCAATGTCACTCAGCATCAGGGAAATCCAAATCAAAACCTCAATGAGATAACACCTCACACCACTCAGAATGGCTAAAATTAACACGTCAGGAAACGACAGATGTTGGTGAGGATGCAGAGAAAGCAGAATCCTCCTACACTGTTGATGGGAATGCAAGCTGGTGCAACCACTCTGGAAAACAGTATGGAGGTTCCTCAAAAAGTGGAAAATGGAGCTACCCCACAACCCAGCAATTGCCCTACTGGGTATTTATCCCAAAGATATAAATGTAATGATCCGAAGGGGCATGTGCACCCCAGTGTTTATAGCAGCAATGTCCCCAACAGCCAAAGTATGGAAAGAGCCTAGATGTCCATCAACAGATGAATGGATAAAAAAGTGGTATATATATATATATATATATATATATATATATATATATACAATGAAATATTATGCAGCCATTGAAAAAATGAAATCTTGCCATGTGCAACGACGTGGATGGAACTGGAGGGTATTATGCTAAGCAAAATAAGTCAGTCAGAGAAAGACAAGTATCATATGATCTCACTTGATATGAGGACTTCTTAATCTCAGGAAACAAACTGAGGGTTGCTGGAGTGGTGGGGGGTGGGAGGGATGGGGTGGCTGGGTGATAGACACTGGGGAGGGTATGTGCTACAGTGAGCGCTGTGAATTGTGTAAGACTGTTGAATCACAGACCTATACCTCTGAAACAAATAATACATTATATGTTAAAAAAAAAAGAAGATAGTAGGAAGGGAAAAATGAAGGGGGGGAATCGGAGGGAGAGACAAACCATAAGAGACTATGGGTTCTGGGAAACAAACTGAGGGTTTTAGAGGGGAGGGGGGTGGGGTGGATGGATTAGCCTGGTGATGGGTATTAAGGAGGGCACATACTGAATGGAGCACTGAGTGTTATACGCAAACAATGAATCATGGAACACTACATCAAGAACTAATGATGTAATGAATGGTGACTAACATAACATAATAAAATAAAATTTAAAAAAAATCACACATACACAAAAAAAGATGTGGTTTGTATCTACAATGGAATATTACTCAGCTATAAAAAAGAATGAAATCTTGCCATTTGCAATGACATGGATGGAGCTAGAGTATAATGTTAAGTGAAATACGTCAGAGAAAGACAAATACCATATGATTTCATTCATATGTGGAGTTTAAGAAACAAAACAAACGAGCAAAGGGAAAAGAAAGGAAGAGAGAGAGAGAGCGAAATCAAGAAACAGACTCTCAGCTATAGAGAACACACAGATAGCTCGGGGCAGTCGGGGGGGATAGGTGAAACAGGTAATGGGGATTAAGGAGTGCACCTGTCATAATATTCACCAGATGATGTACAGAAGTGTTGAATCACTATATTGTACAACTAAAACTAATACCACACTGTATGTTAACTTAAAAAAAAAAAAGAAGAAGAAAAAGAAAAAAGACAAAAAGCCTAGCAAGAATGAATCATGCGCTCAGGTTTAAGAACCTTCTCATCCTCCACTGAGCCCTTTCGATTCCAGGCAAGTGCAAGTTTAACAAATATAACATATCCCCAAGTAAGACTTTTGGCTTGCTAGGGTTTTTGCCTTGGTAGATGATTTTCTGATTTATAATTAGCCACATGTTTCTATAACCTGAATCAAGAATGCTTTGCACATGGTAGGCCTGCAAAAAAAATTAAAAAGGTCTGCTTAATTTAATAAGTGAATTCACTAACTTCTCAGGTGGCCAAGAGGCTTCATTATAAAAGACTAATTGTAAGGAATGTTTGGAAATCTGAATTTTAAATAAGGAGCATTTGTCTGAAATCTAAATATTAAAAATATCAGAAGTAAAACAAGTTTGAAAATTATTGAAACCAGCTGACAGAGACATGAGGATTCATTGTACTAATTTCTCAACTTTCATGAATGTTTGGAAAAGTCCATAATCAAAAAGTCAAAAAAATTAGGATATAAACAAATATAGAAAAGGTCTCAGAATTCCTTCTGCCTTAAGTGACCATGAGATGAGCTAAGATATAAGCTTAGCAGGTCTAAAACCTGCAGAGAACCAGAATGAATATAAATGAAGGGGACCAAAAGCAAAACATAAAACAGGATTTTCTTTATTGGCACCAGGCAAAGCCAGCCTTCGTCTAAGGATAAACTGGAAAGTTAGTGCATGAGGTTGAGAAAGGAAGGGCAGCCTGGAACTATGCCTGACAGTGTGTATATATGTGGGCTGTGGGCAGTACACACTGTGGGGTCCATTCCTCTCTGGCTAATTCTATGCCACTGAGACAGGGAGAGAGGCATAGGAATAAAATCCTCGCCCAAGGTTCTCCAACCACTGCCAATGCATTTGTCATGACCTGCACCATCACCTTGCAATGTTAGCAGCTCATCCCTGAAGTATGCATGACACCAATTAGCTTAATATTAGACTATTCTATTTTTTTAAGATTTTATTTATTTACTTGACAGAAAAAGACAGAGAGAGAAAGAGAGGCAGAGGGAGAGGGAGAAGCAGACGCCCTGCTAAGCAGGGAGCCCAACTCAGGGCTCGATCCTGGGACCCCAGGATCATGAACTGAGCCGAAGGCAGACACTTAACCGAAGGCCAACACTTAACCGATGGAGCCACCCAGGCGCCCCTAGATTATTCTATTTAAAAAAACAAAAAAAAGATGACAAAGAAGAAGAAGGTGGGGAGAAAAAGAGGAGGAGGAGGAAAGTGATCTCTTTTAAGGATATATGTATAAGCAGAAAACTAACAACAATTTATAAAATCTTAATAAAACTTTTACAAGGAAGTATAGGAGCCATAGGTTAATGTTGCTTTAACCTACATTATAAGGAAAAAATCACAGCTCTGAGTCCACTTCCCCCCCAAAATCTCAGAGATGTCTGTCTTCTACTTTTGTGGCAATAGCAAATATGACTATGTGGGGAGAAGGGAGAACATATTACTAAAACTTTGTCTACTTATTCATAATGACTGAACTTTTCCCTACACAGCATAGAAAGAATTTCACTGTGAGATATATGAAATTAAAATTTAAAAAAAATAAGAGAAATAAGAGAGTAATTCACATGTTACATTGAGCAATAGAAAGCATTTTTAAATATTTCCCATAAATACTAGTAGCACCAGTAATTACCACTTGAACAATTTCTAAAACAGACACAACTGTCACAAAAAGCCACAGACTTAACACTAGGAATGAAGGTACAGTAAACACAAGGCATATTTTTATCTTTCAGGAGGTATTACTCTGTAGAGCATCTAACATCAAAAGCACCTGTGTGTATTGTACAAACGATACTCCTAAAGGCTATGATTTTCAGAAGGATGTGAAATAAACACATGAGACACTTCTCATATGTATTATAAGTAAAGACTGTATTTTTAAATCAGTTTTAAACTGTAGACAAACCAGAATGTAATGCTAAGGTGATATTACCAGAAAATCATAAAAACATACTCTGAAGTATAAAAATACATTTGAGAAAAACAAGAATAGCAATCACACAAATCACTTTAGAATTCTTAGAAAATGGGTAGATTACAAAACACACTTTAAAAATATTCATGGGATAAATATGTTAGGAGATGTGCACTTATGAATTGTAACATCAGTGGCAAAATCACCATCAAATGTAAAATTTTACTTGTTATTAAAATATGGTCAATATTTAAGCAAACCAAAATATGCAATATGGAAAAGCAAGGACAGCAAACACAGAGCAGTAGTGGGGATATTATCTGTTCCTTTTTCCTTATCACACGGCAGATAGCAAGGATCAGCCAGTTTATGCTTTCTCCCTGGGCCCAAACAAACCATCAGAATCATTTCCAAACAGAGCATGTCAGGTAGGGACTACCAAGAAACCACACACAAAAATATGAAATTAAACCTATTTTCTATACCTAACACAGGATTTTAGTGACCTGAAACATTTAAACAGATTTTTAGACAACTATTTTTAAATCAGAAATGGTTATATTTTCATATTATTTAAATTCACATAATCAAGAAATGGATTCCAATATATTTTTCACTTCAAAGACCAAAATCCATCACTGAAACAACAACACAAACTTGAATGCAATGATAACCTTAAAAATCCATTAGTAAGAAACAAGGAAATAGGCTGTTCTCTCTGGAGAAAAGCAAGCATACTCCTGAGAGTATGAGAGAGCACTTTGCATGCTGACAATGAACATACGCAGGCCAGGAATAAGAGTACTGATAAAACATAAAAAGTAATAATACCCTTTTCAATATAAGCAATACATTCTCTCATTCTCTACTCAATAAGGTAGGGGAGTGATTTAAGGCATGAAAGCTCCTAAATTTTCATGGATCAACAACAAAATAAGAAGTAAAGAGTTGATTTACGGCATTAACAAAGATATCAAATAACACTTACTTTTGCGAAAGCTTCAAAAATGTCAAAAGAAGGTGGCAGCTGAGAAGCATCCTGGATTTCTTCTCTCATGAAATGTTGAAATGTCATTACCAGCTGCCTGAGGCCCTCTTTCTTATCTTCAGTGATTTTGTTAATATCTTTTTTAAAGAGAGAATAAATAGCACAATCACACAGTGAATTTTTAATGGACAATTTTCAGGTGTTCAATGCTAGCTGTTAAACCAGATTTATCCTCTCTAGATTTCATTCTGACAGAGAGCAAATACGTTCCTTTTTATTTTTTCGCAGCTACATATTACAATACATATATTACCAATTAAATTGCACCAAACTTCATCTACAATATAAGATCAAATACCTATCAAAACAAAATAAATAACATGTACAGATGAAAAACACTACAACCCAAATCAGGAAAGATGTGTGTTACAGGTCCCCCACATCACCCTGGACATCACAAGTGCGTCAAGTCAAGTGAATTTAAGCAGATCTTCCCATGAAACAATTTTCAACCAGGTCATGACCAACTGATAAACAGTGTATCTCAAAGGAAAAAACAAAACCAAAAACAAAAGGATAACCAAAAGTAAAAAGTTCAGTGAGAGTCCAACTGGTGAAATGTGTCACATAAAAAGTCCACTGAGAAGAAAACAGGGAGAAACCCAAGAAATCTCGACTTCAAATTATTTCCACACTGAATAAACAAGATGCGGTGCTGCTAAACCCAAACAGAAGGAGAAGGTTCCAGAGCATAGCTGTCAAAAAATCACTCCATTGAAAATTCAATTTAATTTTTACCACAAAAAGGTATTAAGGCTAAGAGTGTACAATTAATAATGTTTTAGAACACTTCACTTAAGACAGCATGGATGAGGGCGCCTGGGTGCCTCAGTCGTTAAGTGTCTGCCTTCGGCTCAGGTCATGATCCCAGGGTCCTGGGATCGAGCCCCGCATTGGGCTCCCTCCTCCATGGGAAGCCTGCTTCTCCCTCTCCCACTCCCCCTGCTTGTATTCCCTCTCTTCCTCTCTCTCTCGCTGTCAAGTAAATAAATAAGATCTTTAAAAAAAAAAAATAAGACGGCATGGATGACACCACTATTGAGTAGGGCTACTGTTACTCACAGCAAGAGACATTAATTACTTAGCAGTAATATAACACGAAAAATTATTAATTAGTTCTCTATTAAAACTGAAAAGATATATCAAGTTGAACTACAGCATAATTCTGGAGCTCATGTCAGCTCCACATATTCTTTTTAAATTACTTGTTCAACAGAGAACAATTAACCCGATGATTTCTTAAATAATAATTTATTATCATTGGCACTTAGGATCCCATAACCATAAATCTGTACTAGATCATTTTCGTATTTGTCTCCACGCAGAAATATTAAACTGTGTAGCAAAGTTTACTCTATGAGCTCTGGCTACTTTGGGGTTGAAGTCATAGACAACTTCACTAAAGGGGATCTGTCCCAGTATGAAAGGAACAAAAACCCTACACTGACTGAACACTCAGACTGGAGGGCCTGTCAGTATTCCTAAATATCCTGGCCACTACCACGGAGTGGAAAAGAAGAACAATGCGCAATGCTGTCAGACAGCCCAAATCACCTATACCATCTACTTTACTTCTAATCTAAAGGACCATGCGGTGCCTGGGTGGCTCAGTGTCTGCCTTCAGCTCAGGTCATGATCCCAGGATCCTGGGATCAAGTCCTGTGTCAGGCTCCCTGCTCAGTGAGAAGCCTGCTTCTCCCTCTTCCACTCCCCCTGCTTGTGTTCCCTCTCTCGCTGTGTCTCTCTCTGTCATATAAATAAATAAAATCTTTAAAAAAATTAAAATAAATAAATAAAAATAAATAAAGGACCAGTGACCCCAAATGTTCCCTAGAACCCCCTTGTTCACATCATTGTTCCCTGGCATCAAAAAGAAACAAAGATCAGGTTCTAGTACTTTACAAACTCCTAAAAGGCCAAGACTACCCTGGAACAAATTAAATAAGCTAATGTGTCAAGCATATATAAAAACATGAAAAGGTTTGTGAGATTTGCCTCACAAAATAAGGAGACAGAAAAACAATGTTAAAAAGAAAGCAATGCATGAGGTCAGCAAATAAATGACAGGATTTTTTTGGTGCTGATAGACAATCACTTACTTGACTCCAGATCATAAAATGAGTAAAGTTTCTCCGATTCAGACGGTGTTTCTTCCATCTATGAGGCAAAGGGGGAAAACACCAAAAACAACTTCAAGTGCTCCAATATATCAATGAATAAATTTGAATCTCTTTAGATATTGAAATGAAACTCTATTTAAAGAGACAACGTTAATATTCCTCCTCTTCATCACTTTCTAAGAGTTGAATCATTCAATCAGTAACAATTTTAAAATCTAAGTTATGACTTACCCCCTCAATTTGATTTCCAATTGGAAAATTCTTTTATAAGAAGTTCTCATACTTTTATTTCTTTTCCCCAGCTCTACCCACAGACTTGTATTACTGTAAGCATTTTACTCCTATCATTATAGAAAAGCAGAGATGGATGAATAAAAATAAGAGTTTATTACAAACTGCAACCTTCACCAAATTACCTTAAGTCAAAAGTCATCAATGTCCTTATCTAAAACATAAAAGAATCATAGATTCCCTGGGTTGCTGTGGGGATGAAATGAGGTCTATCCTGTAAAGCAATTAGCACGGGGCCTAGAAATCCTAAGTGCTCAATAGACCGTATCTATTATTATTATTATTATCAGTGCTTTCTATTAGATTCTAATCCAGTAGGTCCTGGTTCTCTATCATTCTGATATTAATAAAGTAAAAAAAAGTTCAGTCTCAAATATAATGATCATACTTTTAATATCTAGCAACTAAAGAAATACATAATAACAAAGTTGATCTGAATTTATTAATGCTTTGAAATAAATTTGTATTTTTTAGTTTAACACAATATATATATTTGCAAATTAGTACCTAAATATATGATAGGGGTTATATACTCAGTCCAAAGACAATGCCCATTTGGTATTCTACATCCAGATTTTTTAGAAGTGAGATATAATTGATATATAACACTGTGTTAGTTTTAGGTGTAAAAACATAATTTTACATGATTAAAACTCTCTATAAAATTTTATAGCCTTCCCCTACCCCAAAAAATTCAATAAACAACAGGACAGAAGAGAGCTGGAACCTGAAATAATTTGAGAAAGAGACATTCACATGAAAGCTTTTGGCAAAAGGGAGTCTGGAGGGTATCGCCAGAGGTTTATTCAACAGAACCCAGTGGTGGTTTAGGCAGAGTAGGGGAAAAGACTGAAGAAGCAATTTCAGTGAAACCTGTCTATAAAAAAAAAAAAAAAAAAGCACTCTTCCATGTAAGAGTAATTATCATCATGTGATTAATAGGAAAATGACAAGTTTTTGTCTTAAGATACTCCCTGATATAATCTACCTTCTACCTTCACATGGGTTTAAAGTTGGCCTTAAATAATAATATGGGGAACCTGGGTGGCTCAGTCGGTTAAGCATCCTACTCTAGCCTTCCACTCAGGTGGTGATCTCAGGGTCATGAGATCGAGTCCTGCCTCGGGCTCTGCACTTAGCAGGGAGTCTGCTTGAGATTCTCTCTCCCTCTGACCCTCCCCCCACTCACATCCTTTCTGTCTCTAAATAAATAAATAAAATCTTTAAAAAAATATATGAATAATACATACAACTTCAAGTGCTTTGGTTAATTAAAACCCAAGCTTATTCCATGAGTTTTATACTCACAAGTTTGAAAACAACTCTGCCAAGCAGTCGAACAGAATCCGGGGGATACCTGGGTTTGCAGCTTTTAAGGCATTTGCATTCCCGCTTGTGGTCTGGCCAAGCTTTTTTCTGTTAAGACAAGAGTGGGGAGGGCATATGTTGTAACTTTCATTTACACTGGTTTTGAACGTGGAGAGTCATCAACATTAATTTGATGTTAACAGCCTAAATATAACTGCAAAATAGAAAACGAAAGCAAAGGGCGCCTGGGTGGCTCAGCCGTTAAGCATCTGCCTTCGGCTCAGGTCATGATCCCAGGATCCTGGGATCGAGCACCGAGCTCCCCACTCCACGGGAAGCCTGCTTCTCCCTCTCCCACCCCCCTGCTTCTGTTCCCTCTCTCACTGTGTCTCTCTCTGTCAAATAAATAAATAAAATCTTAAAAAAAAAAAAAAGAAAAGAAAACGAAAGCAATATTCTAATACTATTAATGATGCAGAACCTAGTCTTTCCCAAGAATGTAATTACCAGGCATGGACATCAACACTTCTCCTCCACCTCTGCCCTTCAAACTACCCCGTGGTTATTACCTGGCTGGTGGAGTCCAAGGAAGAATCATTATGACTTACTTAATAATTTATAAGATAGTCTTTTATCTTTTAGCTGATTAAATAGGATTCAATAAGAGGCAGTAATTTTGAATACAAAAAGAAAATATCACACCAAATTAGAAAATAAACACATGGTTCAAGAAAATCAAAACAGGGGCGCCTGGGTGGCTCAGTTGGTTAGGCGATTGCCTTTGGCTCAGGTCATGATCCCAGAGTTCCAGGATCGAGTCCCGCATCAGGCTCCCTGCTCAGCAGGGAGTCTGCTTCTCCCTCTGACCCTCCCCCCTCTCATGTGCTCTCTATCTCTCATTCTCTCTCTCTCAAATAAATAAATAAAATCTTAAAAAAGAAGAAAAGAAAATCAAAACAGGGCAGATAGCCTTCTGTGCTGCTTTAGAGAGTATAGAAGTATCAGGGACTAATATAACAATAAATATGAAACCTTTTGTTTTTGAAGACCACACAGCAAGGGGTTATTAACTAAAATGACCAAATGTCATTTGCCCAGGACTGCTGTGGTTTATTTATGTTGTCCCGGACTAATCATTAATAGTACCCCTTTTCATTCTGACAAGTGTGCTGTGGATGATAAATTATATGGTCACTTAACCCACAATCCTACCTATGTGCTGGTGTGGCTGAAAAGACCAACGAGCCAGTCACCAATCCTGCATTGCTGAGAAGAACAGACAGTAGGGAGGAGGACACTGTCTCCCTGAATCTTGGAGTCAGAAATGTCATGGCTCCTTCACAGGGAATGACCTCTATAGAGAAATACAATGCAGAGTATCTAAGATTTAACCCTGGTTGAGTGGGAGAAGGCTCGACTAAATGTCTGACACGTTCTCTTCCAACTGAAAGCTGGAAGTTCCATCACCGAAATGCCTGACACACACATTCTTGCTTCAGAAACTCTAAATATGCCTCCCAACTTCTGGCCCTATAAAATCCCTCCAGGAGGAACTCTCTCTTTTCCACCTATAGCACAAACACGAAGTGCAACCAGAAATTCAAATCTGGGGACACCTGGGTGGCTCAGTCGGTTAAGTGTGTGACCTTGGCTGGGGTCGTGATCTCAGGGTCCTGGGATGGAGTGCCACATCTGGCTCCAAGCTCAGAGGGGAGTCAGCTTGTCTCTCTGCCCTCCCCCCACTCATGCGCTTGTGTGCGCTCTCTCTCTCTCAAATAAATAAAATTTTTAAAAAGTCAAAAATGCTGCAGCTACTTTGAAACTGTGAGTTTCAAGCCAGCATTTTGCTCAGAAAGACTGCCAGTGTTGAGTTCCTGGGTGAAGATGTGGCTTATCTGCTATTTCCTACGAACCCAAATCTTGAAGGCAAGGTTTGCAAGGGGTACAACACTTCTTTCCTCAACTGAACCCATGACTGCCTCACTTCATTTCTTCTTATCCACTACAGTAATGCTTTTAATGTGATGTTTGTAATCTTTTTGCTTTTTTAGTATTTATACTTCACTCACTTCTAAACAAGACTGAGTTGCTTCAAAATGAAGATGTATGGGCGCCTGGGTGGCTCAGTTGGTTAGGGAACTGCCTTCAGCTCAGGTCATGATCCTGGAGTCCCAGGATCGAGTCCCACATCGGGCTCCCGGCTCAGCAGGGAGTCTGCTTCTCCCTCTGACCCTCTTCCCTCTCGTGCTATCTCTCACTCTCTCTCTCTCAAATAAATAAATAAAATCTTTAAAAAACAATGAAGATGTATATGAAATAAGGCTATAAAATTAGAAATGGAAAAATGTTGAAGTTACAAAAAAAAATAGTCCTCTAGCATTTACTTAGCATTCTGCAGTATGTCAGACACACCACTAAGCAAATAAAAAAGGATATTTCATTTGATTTTTCACAATAATACAAATGGTAGATATTATCCTTACATTAAAGATGACGAAAGTAAAGCTGGGTGGGATCTCACCACCAAGCTACATAAACACAAAAGAGGAGAGTAAAAATTCTTAGTATTCTACTCATGAGAGCTTAATAATCACCATACATTTATTCAACTTGCCTTTTGGCAATGCAAAAAATAAAGCATAATGGCTTATATAATTCTCATCTGACAGAAAAGAAAAACACAGCTTCACCAAGTATTAAATCACAAGAGGAGTTTATTCTAAGAATGCCAATCAACATACTGGACAATTATAATGGCCATCATATAGCTACTTCCAATGTCAGTACTCACTAAACGGCATAATATTAAACTGTAAGTCTGTGAAAGAAAATGTTTCTATTGTTTAGGGGGCTAGTCTTAGACCAGCAATTAGCAATTTATCAACATGGGTAAGATCCCTTAAAAAAATACCTTCCATTGTCAATTAAGTTTGAAAACCGCTGCATAATACACACCCTGCTTAGAGAATGGAAGTAATTTAGTTTGCTAAAAAGCTCTGCATGAAAGAAACTTGTATAACTTAGTTAACACAGAGTTTCCTGTGATTGTTACTGCCATCCTTTGGGAAATTAGGTTGGTATATATGGACTCAGATATAGCTATTTACTTTCTTTCCTTCATCTGATCTTTCAGTGAGAGTGGGTTTAACAGACAAATTCATGATCATTCACACTGATAGAAAACTAGAGTGCTAATATTTTTTATTTCTGACTGGTGAACCACAACTTTGGTGGAAGAGTTTTCATTTAGTATTAATAGTTGAGAATGCTGATAGATGCCCTCACTGGACTGGCTATGTAGGCAGGAATGAACCACAAGTACAAATGGGTCTCTGAGAAAGCCCTCTGGCCCTGTTCAAAGCCTGAGCAAGTGTCCAGGTGCCAAAGGATGGCACCTAGCAAAAGAAGGCTGAGACCATTTGGACCAAAAAAAAATCTTAAAAGAAGATTTTATTCAACACTTGTAAGTACAAGTGATCATCTACAACTCCTTTGTTATGTTCTGAGCATCTCAGTCTCCTGCTAGCTTACCACAGTGAAGTAACTACAAAATGTACCCCTAGGTAACAAACCTGTTGATCTGTTAGATAACATTATTTAGAATTAAACATCCAAATTTTGGAGAATTCCTGTCAAAACAACTTTAGGTCTTTAGCATAATTAATATTACACTACTATTTCTCAGAAATTAGACTTATTAGAAACTAGACAGTATGTTTCTTAAAGCTATTCCTAAATCACTGCATGAAAACACCAGAGAACATACTTATCTTCCCATTTGCTTCAGGAAAAAGATACTCATTCTTTTCATCTAAAAACCAAATTAGATGGGCACCTGGGTGGCTCAGTTGGTTAAGCGACTGCCTTCGGCTCAGGTCATGATCCCGGAGACCTGGGATTGAGTCCCACATCAGGCTCCCGGCTCAGCGGGGAGCCTGCTTCTCCCTCTGACCTTCTCCCCTCTGTTTCTCTCTTTCTCTCTCTCAAATAAATAAATAAAATCTTTACAAAAAAATAAAATAAAATAAAAACCAAATTAGATCTATATAAATATAGAAAGTAATCATACCACTTAAAACTGGTCTATAGCATAGTGCCAACATAGAGCCTACTTCATATTTCACCATGATATTAAAAACCACGTTTTTAAAACAATAATTATTAGGATTTACTGCTCAGCATCACCATCACATCTTACCATACGGCTCCCTAACAGAAGCTTACCACAGAAAAGGCTTACAAAGCAATCTCTTAAGTAACCACATGTGACACTGAAGCAAAACCTCACAATCTCACAAGAGCATTAGGCATTATCTAAACTGTACAAACTTTAACCTTGGTCTAGACATCAACAGCACATAACATATCTGCCAGTTTTACAAAGACAACCTCCCTGATTTATTGTTTCCTATTTTCTTCCCTCACTGTAATGTGGGATATAATTAAGATTTTTTTCACAATATTGGCTCTAATGTTTTCTGTTCTGAAAGTTGAACATTATCAGTGATGTACAATAAGCACAAATTAGCATGAAAGACAAATGACATTAAAATATTGCATTAAGGGCGCCTGGGTGGCTCAGATGGTTAAGCATCTGCCTTCGGCTCAGGTCATGATCCTGGGATCCTGGGATGGAGTCCCGCATCGGGCTCCCTGCTCCTTGGGAGCCTGCTTCTCCCTCTGCTTCTCTCTCTCTCTCTCTCTCCCTCTGTCTCTCATGAATAAATAAATAAAATAAAATAAAATAAAATAAAATATTGCATTAAGACACAAAGACAATGGGAAAAAATAGTTTTGGATGGGAAAAGGAAATGAAGACATCTACAGTGATTCCACATGTCAGTACATACAGGACTCAGAAACCACTCTGGAAATCTCTACATTTTCATGTTCTATAGTACTTATAGTGACTCAGAATAAAAACTAATTAAGTAAACCAGCAGTTCCCAATGGGGGTAACCCTAATCTTGAAGGTTGTTTGGAAAATATATGGGAGCATCCTTATTTGTTAGGATGCCTGGGGAGAGACATGGGCACTGAGTGGCCAGGAACCAGAGATGTTGGACATCCCATGTGGGATATTCCGTACAATGAAGAATCAATTCTTC